ATAGGTGGAGTCATTACAGATTGAGATGAGTCAATCATACTACTGTTATTTATAGGTGGAGTCATTACAGATTGAGATGAGTCAATCATACTACTGTTATTTATAGGTGGAGTCATTACAGATTGAGATGAGTCAATCATACTACTGTTATTTATAGGTGGAGTCATTACAGATTGAAATGAGTCAATTAAAAGAAGAATACAATAAAGTATTAGAAGATAAAGATTCCTTAGAAGGAGAGGTACTATCATTGACATCACAAATGGAAGATGCAAACCTACCAATAGATAGAAGTAAAATAGGAGAAAGTAGAGCTAAAACCCCCGATTCCCAGGTATGTGTACAATGTGGCAATGTTCCGTTCTACCATTGCATGCATTGACAAATATGATACACCAAGGTTTTAGGATTGCCAAAAAAAAAAAAAATGAAGAAATGTGTTATTTGTCTTTCAAGTATCATTACAGTCTTCCACTGATTATCCAGGTTGTCTATGCAAAACTTAGATAATTGAGACCTGACTGCTCATCCTGTCTACACCATGTGTTAATATATTGTGTTGTGTGTATCTCTGTAATCATTATCTGAATCATCTCACATTCATTAGAGAGCTGTGTTATTTTGTAGCAGTAACTCAGACGTGATCTATGTAAAAATGTCTTCACTTTTTCTTACATCTCTATTTGCATTATATCATTCTCAAAATTCAGTTTATGTACATTTTGTATTCGTCTCAGACAATCATTCTTTTTTGCTGTGTTCTTTATTCATTCTCTACGCAAGGCATCTACTGCTAGTTATTCCAACTCTGAGGACAAGGTAATGTTTGAGTAGTGATAATGCATTATAAGGGTGTGTGGGGAGGGGCACATATAACTGAATAAACCCTTTATATACCAATTTATACTTTTACTAATTATTGGAGGAATCTGGAAAATAACTGTTATGTTAAATTGAGGAGGGGAGCACTCCGCTGAAAGTTTGGTAACTGAGCCTTGAAAGAAACAATGCACAATTGAGTAGAAACAAAATTGCCTCTGAACTTGACATCAACAGAACTTGCTGAGGGGTTGAATTTAAACCTCAATTTCACGGTGGGTACCCAGGTTTCAGCTGAGTGGATTTCCTTGACATCCATTTTATATCATGTAGTACATGTATCTGTAAAATGGTTAAACGAATTAACAAACCCCTATACTTATTACAATTTTCAGTTAACTTGCTAATGGTTTTTGTTGTTGAAAAAGAGACGGTTTTATATATAAATTATTCTAAAGACTAACTTATTGTATCGGTAGTGCCATAATAGTATAAATATGAGGTTATTACAAGGAAAGTGCAAAGTATGCACGAAGACAGTACAGTGGAAGTATTGACCAATGCGCAGTGGAGGTTGATGCGACCGTGTACTGTCTGAGTGCATACTTTGCAGTATCCTCATAATAACCTTATTATTATACATTTTTTCCTCCCAGGAATATATCATGAAAATGTCGAAATCCAAAATGTTTAGAACAAATTTAGTGAAGGTTCAGTCAAACCCTGGGGGCAACCATGTTTGTTTTTGTTTCATTAGAGGACGCTTACACATGTAATCGTTCCATATTTGGAATTTGTGTTTCCTAATATGGTAGCATGAAAATACCTAGTGCAATACCGCAAAATTATGGGACGCTGTAACTTATGCGTTACAGTCACGGATGTATAATAATACATAATAACTAATATTTAATAATATATGCACTGTATGATGTGTATATATCATAATTCACCGATGAATGCTGGGTCGTTCTACTATATATCCTACAAGTTATTGGTGCTTGGTATAGATTGGTGTACAGAGCATGGAGTGTATACGTTGAAATATGTCTAAACCTCGTTCAAGTTATTGGTGCTTGGTATAGATTGGTGTACAGAGCATGGAGTGTATACATTGAAATATGTCTAAACCTTGTTCAAGTTAAAAATACTATATAATATATAAACATATACATTTACTTTATTTATACACAAAATTTCCCAGTTCATTTTCAATTTAGATACAAACTTCTTGGCAGAGGAGTTAAATAGAACCTCCCCTAATTCAAAGTTATTATTTGATCATATGTATTACCAATATATGCATATATAGTTACATGTTGTATCATTATGTAATACACAAGCTGCTTGTATATATTGGTTATGTTAGACTTGCACTAAATCACTCCTTATTGAAAATGAATAAATACATTGTGACAATCTGGGACATGCATGCACCTGTCTTTCAAGTAGTTATTTTTTGAGTCAAGTGCATGATATGAGTGAGAATTGATTGGAAACTTTTTATCGGTGGTTATGAAAAGTTGTTTTGTTTGATCACAAATAGCTTGCTACCTTGAGGTCTGAAATTAAAGTATGGAAAGAAAAACACAATCACCTGAATACAGAGAAAAGAATAATGCAAAAGAAGTTTGAAACAACCGCCAGAGAATTGGAGAATGCCAAGAAATGTGTCAAACGACTTGAAAGCAGTGCACAGTCAATGGCTTCAAAGGTATGTCATACCAATTCTATGTATTTCATCAAACGACTTGAAAGCAGTGCACAGTCAATGGCTTCAAAGGTATGTCATACCAATTCTATGTATTTCATTGGTCAGTTTTGCTGAAATGCAAATAAAAAAGTTTAATAATTTATCACCTATCTGACAGGATGCCTTCCTATTTTGATGATATAAAAAAAAAACTGTTAATGTTTCTAATGACAAATTATATTTTTGGTTGATTTTTGCTGGATTTGTCCAAAATTGTGTTCAATACAATGTGTTAGGTGAATGTCTGTATTAGATGTGCAGTTCTTCTCAGTAGATAAAGTATCCGCTAGTATACTATATAATATTGAATTGGATTGGAGTCGGCATCGGTATGATATCATTGTGTTCTGTCATCATACCTACTGTTAATGTGCATGTGTGTAGTAGAAGCAATTATTTTATCACAACATTCATTTATTGTGTGTGCAGTTTCTAGTGTAAATTGCTTTGCTAAAATAAAATCTGAATGTATCTTTCAGGATGCAGATGAAGTGAGGCGTCTAGCCAGTGGCAAAGAATCTCTGGAACAGGAGTTAAAAGTAGTTAAATCGCTAGCAGAAGTGCGACAAAAACAGGCAGAATCTCTTCAAAAGGAGTTAGACACTTTAAGAAAATTAGCAGAAGATAGACAGAAAGAAATAAGAAGCTTACAACAAAATTTAAGGAGTTCACAGAAACTAGCAAAGGGGAGAGAACATGAAATTGACTCGCTGCAGCAGGAGCTAGTAGGTGCAAGTGGACTCGCTGAAGACAGAAATAGACAACTAGAACAAATAGTCCATGAAATGGAAGAATCAAAGATTATGGCGGAGAATAAACATGACCAGTTGGAGTCATTGCAGGAACAGTTAAATAATATTAATGTAGTAGCTAAAGATAAAAGTAAGGAAGTTGAATCTTTAAAAGCTGAATTAGACAAAGCAACCAAGTGGGCTGAAGATAAACAACTAGAATTAGAGACATTAGAACAAGAACTTGTCGGGACAACACTAGTTGCTGAGGGACGACAAAAGCAGATAGATTCATTGCAGACAATTGTTGCGTAAGTATATTATATATATATCACAAAAACTACCCTAAACTAAAAAATTTTGTACTACTGGTATTCACATTTTTTATGATAAAAAGAAGATCATTTTTTATATGAACTAATTTTAATCTTTTTGACATCTAGCGAATGTTAGTTGATGTGATGTAAGATGATTAATGTCTCAACCTACGATAGATGAAATGTCATTAATGTCATGTTGTACCACCTGAATACCTCACACCACAGAATTGTTATTGTTTATTCCCCCTTATGCCAGAAGCAGAATTTATTGATCAACTGTAAATAGAAAGCAGAATAAATTAGAAAGCCACAATTATTTGTGAAATATGAGTTTGACAACATGATTAAAGTGTGATAAACCTGATGGAAGGGCATTATAGTATGAGAAACCTGATGAAAGGGGATTATAGTATGATAAACCTGATGGAAGTGCATTATAGTGTGATAAACCAGATGGAAGGGCATTATAGTGTGATAAACTTGATGGAAGGGTATTATAATATGATACACCTGCAAGAAGGCCATTATAGCATGATAAACCTGATGGAAGTGCATTACAGTGTGATAAACCTGAGGGAAGGGCATTATAGTGTGATAAACTTGATATGGAAGAGCATTATAGTGTGATAAACTTGATGGAAGTGCATTATAGTGTGATAAATCAGATGGAAGGGCATTATAGTGTGATAAATCTGATGGAAGGGTATTACAGTGTGATAAACCTGATGTAAGGCCATTATAGTGTGATAAACCTGATGGAAGTGCATTATAGTGTGATAAACCAGATGCAAGGGCATTATAGTGTGATAAACCAGATGGAAGGGCATTATAGTATGATAAACTTGATGGAAGGGCATTATAGTATGATACACCTGCAAGAAGGGCATTACAGCATGATAAACCTGATGGAAGTGCATTACAGTGTGATAAACCTGAGGGAAGGGCATTATAGTGTGATAAACATGATGGAAGAGCATTATAGTGTGATACACTTGATGGAAGTGCATTATAGTATGATAAACCTGCTAGAAGGGCATTATAGTGTGATAAACCTGCTAGAAGGGCATTATAGTATGATAAACCTGCTAGAAGGGCATTATAGTATGATAAACCTAATGGAAGGCATATAGTTGTGTGTATTATTGTGGGCATTCATTTTAACCTTTGACCTTGTATTTCTTCCATTGCATGTCTGCCTATATATTTATCCTATTGGTTTGTATTTCTATACCCAGTATTGATCTGTGTGAAACAAGCAGGTATTTATTGTTTTTATTGACTTTACCATACACCTCTATAATTCTCTAATAATTTACTCTATTAGAAGTGTATCTCTATGTAAGATTATGTGAAAATATTATTGTTCTGTAATACTACATTCAATACATATGAATCACTGATTTATTGTACTGGCAAATGAATTACTGAAGGTGTTCTTCAAAGTAATACATCAACCATTTTCCCCAAGGGCTGTGTGTAAATATGTGAATGAATCATTGTGTTTAGTTTTTATCATTGTAATCTAGTACATACAATTATTTCATTTGTTAATGCATGTATGTATTGTCACTATTCTAAGTATCATCTAAACACTCTAGGGTGTGTAGTATATGACATGAATTTGAGTTTATTACAAGATAACCCTCTGTCATTCAAACACAGCTATTTCTTGACTATAATAACCACAGCGTTTTATTCTGCCAATCATGCTTATCAAATATTGTGGTAGATTTAGTATTTTACTTTGTTTTTATAAAATATATTGGCATAGCTGCAATGTGTAGTTTTAGATTTTCATAAGGTATGAATAAACCAATGGTTCACATAGTATTCTTACACACTGTGGAATTCTATCAGTTTTCTTTCAAATAAAATTCTGAATTGCTGAAAAGAACAAGTTGACTGGAGTTCTTTAGGCAGGGACAATGACTGTAATTCAGTTCAGCGTACATAACCATATCTGGCAAGTTGGAATTTGTTGTACTGCTAATGATTAAATTTAAAATTCCAAAAAACTTTCAAAATTTTGGACCTATTCACTTAAATTCTTAAAGCTTTTACTAAACTCAGTGACATTTAAAACATAATCAATACTAAGTAATTGTAATCTGTTTTATTCCTGTATTCAAATAATCATAAATATTTCTTTATTTGTACAGTGAGCATACCATGGAGAGTTCTTCTCACGCACAAAAATTGACCTTATTACTTGCTGAAAACCGAGCAAATAGAGAAGAAATTGAGAAACTTACAAGAGATCTGACTGTTAAGGTAACGTTATAAAGCTATGATGTAATGTTGTTGCTATGACAACTGACTGATTTTCTGCTATATTCCTGAAATATATTTACTCTTACGTTGCTGCTTGTGCAAAGTAAATACAAATGTATTTCATGTCATGGATTCACCAGTAGAGGGCAGTGTGAGATTTCAATCAGACTAATTAAAGCAGAGCTATGCTTTAATATTTATGATGTCTATATTTTCAGATGAAAGAATCAGCAGCAGATAGAGAAGTTAATGAGTATTTGTGTAATGAAAAATACAAACTACAATCTGAAAAGACAATATTGGAAAGTGAACTAGCCACCGTCAAAGATGAATACGAGAAATATCAAATACAACACAGTGCTGATAGTAAAATTCAGCAAGCAGAGATCAGTGGACTCAAGGCTAAGGTAGAAAACTAATTGATGAATTTCATTCAAAGTTGGTGTATATACATGTAATGACAGTATATGCTTGTCAAATTAATTTTTCAATTAAATCAAATTTGACCATTTAGCAGTTTTTTAGACCTTAAAAATCGCCAGAAAGCACAATTTATGTTTTTGTATAGACATATCTCAGATATGCTTTGATGTCATTGTGGTATACATATGTATGTTACTGGTATGTTATTTTATGATTTGGCATCAGGGTTTGCGCTAGTGTCTCGACAAGACGAGTCCCATTTAAAAAAATTTATGAAATTTATATATGACCCTGGATCAATTTATTAGACATTGGACCCCAGCTTGTCTGAAAAACTGGGGTATGGGGTTAACGCAATCCCTGGGCATCCATTTCAGACACCCAATAAATGTACAGGTTATAATTAAATGTGGGACTATAGTTACATGTAGCTAATACAAAATAGTCATGTTTTACGTTAGTTACTGGGTAATAATGACGATCAATTTTAATGGTTTATGACTTGTTACTGTTGTTACCGTAACCAATCGTAAACTCTTCTATGGTTTAAATACAATACTAACAAATCTCATTTTATTTCGATGAACAAGGCATTGCTCTAAACAATAAATGTTCATAAACTCTTGCAATTGTTAGATCAAAATTGACGTCATTGAGTTTGTGCAGAACATGTCACATTTAAAAATGTCAGTTCATATATGGACAAAATTGATTGTTTTTAGTTTACAACTGTTTGATGGATCTAAAATGGATGCATGGGACATCCATTACATACAGCATCACTATCAGGTGTGGGTTGTAAATGAAGTCTACAGCTAATAAGTTTGTCTCATTTCTTATAGTTAAATGCTTCAGAAAGACTAAAAGACACTCTGACTTCAGAATTGTCTCACACCAAGTTCAACTTGTCAGAAGCATCAGAATCTAGTGACAAAGTGTCATCTGTGTCATATGATTTAGCATCAGCAAAAGTTGATTTGGAAAACTTGAGAAAGGAACATAGTGTTTTGAATACAATGTTGGCTGAAGAGAGAAAACAATGTGAAAAACTACGGGTAAGTTACGCTGTACACCAGGTTTCTCTAATTTCTCAGCAGTTTTAGTGTAACTTCAATCTGCTTTTGTTATTGTTGTTGTTTTTTTTGTATCAGACAAAATTGAAATGTCATGCCAAAATGGTGAAAAAATATCTGAAAATAATTTCAAAAAATCAATAAAAAAATTTCCCACCAAATATTTTAATCAGATTGGATGAAACACTACGCTGTCCATTAATAAAGAAATATTATAAAATAATATGTCAATTGGAAAATACTAGTGTATTCTGCCCTCTTGTGGATTGTTATTAATGAACTTTTGTTTTTTTATCTGCAGGAAGAATGGCAGAAGGAACTGACAGAGAAAAGGAAACTTAATGACCAAATACGTGATGTCAAAATAGAGTTAGATACAACCACTGCTACGTTGGAAGCAAGTAAAGACTATGCAGCTCAACTACAAGAAGAAAAAGATCAACTCTATAAGGGTACTAATTTACACTTTATCAACTAAATGTAATGTTTACTCATGGCAGTGTGCCTGTTTCTATTGTGTTCTTTATAAATGCAAAATGGCAAAGATATAAGGTGATGTATGTGGGGTGTCTATTATCATCATCAGAGCTGTTAATAATTGAATAAATTCATTTTGGAGGAACCTTGGTTAAGGTCTGTAGGTGCTTGTGATTGTCGTCTCTGGCTGATATTACACTAAGCTGTTGATGTGAATGGATCAATGAATATAGTCCTGATATGTTTCCAGAATATGAAATGTGATGTTAAATCCCACTGCAGGTGTATTAATTTGGAGTGAATAAATTTAAAAGTTAAGAAAGACTCTGGAAGTCATTGTTTATGTGTATTGCATGGAATAAAACACATACTAGTAATATAAATTGAAATAAAAACAAA